CCGTCGCCCCCCCGGGGCCGCAGCGGGGCTTCAGCCTCCGCCTCCGGTGCGCAAGCAGAAACGAGCTGTGCTAGCTTGAGAGTGAAGAGCGTGATGAGTCGTGCGGGGGTCACCGCGCCGCAGACCCGCGTCAGGCGCGCTCGGCTTCGTCCCTGTCCCCCCGGGGCACCCTGCCCATGGTGTAGAACTCCTTGTTGGGGCGCAGGTCGATGTAATGAGCTATGCGATTGGACATGGCGAAGAAAGCAGAAATCATGCCTATGTCCCAGGCATCTTCGCGGTCAAAACCGTGCCTCTCCAGCTTCTGGAAATGCTCCTCGGTGATGTTATCGGCTCGACAGACTGCAAGGGCAAACTCCAGCATGGCCAGGTCCCGGTCACTCAGGTCAGCCAGTTTCCAGTTGACGATGACCTGAGAGAAGGCAGAAACCAGAGGTAGCACAGAGGCACCCAGCAAGCAGTCTTAACCGGCTGACCGCCTTTTTTGCTCCACAAACCAACGAGATGGCAGTACACAGGCTCTTGGTCAGCACGTGAACCAGACATCCTGACTACCATCAGACAAAAGACTACATTTTACTGCCCTCCTCAGGGGCTGTGGCAGTTTCGCTGAGCAGGCTGTGGAGGAGTTCATCAAACAGACCCAGTGCTACCAGGATGCTGCAGCTCCCTGTTGGCAGCAAGCTCCTCCACAGACCAGATTAAAATACATGGGCAGCAGGATGAATGCTCTGCAGGTCAACTGTGCCTCCCCGCATCTTGCTTGGAAGGTGGATGAGGATACACCACCTCGAGGGGCTACCCCCACTGGCTGCTGATCTGACTGTGCACCAATAAACCTAGTGAGCCAGCTACTGCATTATGGTCCCAGATGTGTCAAAATCGCTCAAGATTGCCGGGAACCACATAGATCAAAATACAGATTAAGGATCAAAACTTCAGGTGAGAAAACAGACACATGAGGGGGCCATTCCCACCTCCCAAGGGACCATGCGAAGGAGGTGGGGCGCACACGCTGTAGTAACCCCACTGACCTGGTCAGCCAGTGCCGGCTGCTTGGAATATATGCGATGAAGTGCTCCATGTGCAACCACACAGTAGGGACATCTATTCACAACACTGGTAGCCACAATTATGAGCTCTTTGTCTGCCTTGCTGAGTCGCCCTGCAGGGACAGCAAAAGATTTGGCACACTTTGCTGTTAAAAATGTCCACCACGGAGAGTATCACTGGGGAAAACGGGGAGGGGAGGGTTCTGGGTACAAGCTGCCTGCAGTACAGCCCAGGAGACAGAGCTCCAGAGAGCATGCAGGGAGACACTGCAACCAAAGCTCCGAGATGACAGGACGAGGGGCAACAGTTTTAAACTGAAAGATGGTAGGTTTAGATTGAACATGGCATCTTTTGCTATTAGGGTGGTGAGACACTGGGACAGGTTGTCCAGAGAAGTTGTGGGTGTCTCACCCCTGAAGCGTTCAAGGTCAGATTGGATGGGGCTTTGAGCACCCTGATCTAGTGAAAGATGTCCCTGCCCACGGCACGGTGGGTGTTGGACTAGATGATCTTTAAAGGTCCCTTCCAACCCAAATCTTTCTGTGATTCTGTGATCATCCATGTGACCAATTTACCCAGATAGTTGCTTGTGAGGCACCTAGTTAGGATGAGGGACATGAGATTTGGTCAACAGTGACACAGTTCTACATAACAGGAAAACTCAGAGGAGTAAACTTGGTTGCTCATCGAGTAGGAAGCTCGGTTGGTAGTTCTCTGTGTAAGTCTCAGAGGCAAATGGCTAAGGAGAGTGCTGTCTGTTCTTCCCCTGATGCTTTACTGCTGCTTTTACAGAAAAGTCCAGTGTTCTAATACCTGCTAAGCGGGTTTCAGCAAGTAAACATTATCGGCAGCTTTTGAAGGCAGAAACAAAAAAAAACAAAAGGAACAATGAGGTACCCAAGGACTGGGGCTTTGAGAACCTCTAGTGAGCACCAGACAGACAAACCACAACTTTTACACAGTGTCTAGCCCTGCTTTAAAGAAGCTGCGGAAAAGTAGCTCCCTCCTCCTCCCCACAACAGCTACTGGTTTACTGGACTTTGACAGGATTTCCATAAAACCAGTGTCTTGTAAGAGCATGAAAGACACTACTAAAACCCCCTGGGTAAAGAGGAGTTGGGAGAAGAGGCTTTCATGCTCTGCTTCAGTGCCAGAAGGTGGCAATGCGGTGATACTGCAGGAGAGATGCTGAAAAGGGTGCGATCCAGGATAGTCCTACTCTTCCAAGTCAAAGAAGAAGCATGAGAATGAGAAGGGAAAAACAGACCCTCATACAGCTAAGGGCATGGCTTCACTCCAGCAGCACAAGCAGAGCAGAAAGCTTCACACAGAGACTGCATCTACCATGTGGGAGAGGCACAAGACTGCACTCTTCGCTGCCTCTAGATCTTGCTGAGACACTCCTCCCAAGCCCTCATCTCCCATAAACAAGAGGAGCAGTCTATACCCACCAGCTTCTTTTACAAAATCCTGGTTATACTAATGTACCTTCAGAGCAAAAGCAATGACAACAGGCCCCTCGGTGCTCTGTACCACGGAAGCATGAGGAACAGGCAGTCATCAAACTGCATTTCCTCGAAGGGTGGAGGGCCATGCAGAGTTCCCTGCAGCCCTGCCCAGCAGCACTGCGGCAGCCAGCCCTCCCTCATCTCCACTCCTCCACTCTGGGCACCCAGAGCCCGCCTGCTGCGCAGGCATCCCAGCGCGCAAGCACCATGGTCATCTCCCTGCTGCTGCAGGGCACAGACGCCCCCGGGTTCAGAGCCCCCCGCGCAGCGCATTGGGGCCCAGAGGGCACGGCCTCCCTCACAAGTTCTGTGCACTGCTCATTGGCAGCTCATCACCAAAAAGTGTTGTGGAGCAAGAGCTGCAAGCAGGCTCAGCAG